TTAAGCCAAAAAAAACTTTACATTTGGAAACCATAATGGGTTTCCATGTGAATATACTTGCAAGGTTTGAATTTGGGTTCATGATTATAAACTGTTGTGCATTTAAATTAATTTGATCCACAATCAATGCATACAGATCTTCTGTGAAAACAGCTCCGTAAAATCAAGGGGAGTATTTAAATTGGCATTTTCCACCTGAATTTCGGGTTGGGCAGTGAATGGGGGAAAGTACAGGTGCTGCAGAATTTGTGGGCTACCAATCAGGATTTGCAAGCACATCCGGAAGGATATTAGGAGCTGTATGGCCTGTCTGTGAATTCTTGGTGGCCTCGGGACACTACTTGTGCTAGCCGCCTTACCAGCTTGCACTTATGGGACTCGCCACATCACCAAGTGATACTGCAGTATGATATGTGTGTGTATATGATTTTGCGCACCCGTGCTGCCCTGTAGCAGTGTTTCTACTATAAGGCGGATGGTAAGTGGTTAACACCTCCCTGCCCGGCCTATAGCAGATTGATGGCCAGGCAGAACACTCCTTGTGACTGGGCGTCATGTGACATCCTATCAAAAGGAGCTGCTCGCAGGGCCACGCAGTGGCGTGATCTGTCATCGGCTGAGTGCACGGGACCCAGCCGATGACATCACTACGACGACCCGTTGACCATGTCATGTGACTACTGTGACCAATCACAGAACACATCAATTGTATACATTTGTGGTGTTAACTGTGATTGGTCAAAGCAGTCACATGGCACAGACGGGGCACATCACAGCCCATCTGTATCATGTGATGAGCTTTGCCCAATCACCTTTAATCACTACAAATGACTGAATCAGTTTCATTCATTAACAATGATTGCAAATATCAATGAAATACATTGGTGTTAGCAATCGTGATGTGTTTAATATGTAAAGTAAAAGACAATTTATTCTAGAATATCTATAGGCAATGGTAAATATAAATAACCTGTTTACATGGTTAAGGAACAGAATATCTAATCCACTCTGAGATTAACACAGATATATACAGTGGATATAAAAAGGCTACCCTGTTAAATGTCAGGTTTCTGTGATGTAAAAAAAAAAATGAGGCAAAGTTAAATAATTTCAGAACTTTTTCCACCTTTTAATGTGACCTATAAACTGTACAACTCAGTTGAACAACAAACTGAAATCTTTTAGGTGGAGACTAAAAAATAAAAAACTAAAATAATATGGTTGCATAAGTGCACAACTTGACACAAACTTAACTAACTGAAGCCTGTAGGTTTTGTGCCAATATTGACTGGTATTTGGTAGTGGTGCACTGAAATGAACATTCTGGTGCTGAAAATTCAAAATGCACTTGGCCGAAAACCGAAATGCGCAGATTTTTTATAAAAATGAAGATTTTAAAAAACTGTGTATGTGTGTGTGTGTGTGGTTTTTTTTTTTTTTTTTTTTACTTGTCATACTTGCCTTCTCTGTGCAATTTGTTTTGCACAGAGCAGCCATTTCTCTCTTCTGTGGTCCCCCACCAGCACTCCTGGCTCTTATTACCTTGAGTGTCCATATATACCTCCTGTATACCTGCAAAGTATAGTATAGAGTGCCCCTATAGCAAGGGAAAAAATAGACTTCTGCCTTTTAGAATCACTCACTTCCTTTTGCTGCCCAGGTCTTCATGTGCCACAAGACATTGCTCCTATCACATTCACAAGTGCTCAGGCACTTGCTGACATGTATTGACAGTATACTGAGCTATATGTGTGCTGCATTGTGTATACGGACATGTATGGAAGGTGTACTGAGCTCTGTGTGCTGCACTGTATTTTCTGATATGTAAACAAATGCATTCTGTATGCAGGCCAACTAATTGACCAACTAACAGATTCTGAAAATAGTTGACAGCTATTTTCATTGATAATCAGTAGTTCTGTCCTTTCCCTGCGCTATTCAAAGCAAAGCACCAGAAACATGCTGATATCGTCTCTGGCTGACCTTCCTTTTTCATTAACCACTTAAATGCTGGCCATTTTCCCCTTTCCTGCCCAGGCCAATTTTCAGTTTTCAGTACTAGCACACTTGAGTGACAATTACTCAGTCATGCAACACTGTACCCAAATGAAATTTTTATCATTTTTTTTTTTTTTTTTATTTACAAATAGAGATTTCTTTTGGTGGTATTTAATGGCCCTGTTTTTCTTATTCTTTGCTAAATAAATGAAAAAAGACTGAACATTTTGTGGGGAAAAAGCAATTTTTTTTTCGTTTGGTTAGTTTTTTTGTGTGCAAAACTTTTTCTTCATAAATTTAGGTCAAAATGTATTTTGCTACATTTCTTTGGTGAAAATAACCCAAATCACTGTTTTAAACCTGGTATCACGTAGTGTAAACTAAATATTAAAGTTGCAAGTGAGAGAATTACAAAGTTGTCAATGGTCTCCCAACATGAAGTTGGGGCCTCATTTAGACCGGAGGAGGTTGGATTTTTAACACCCCTACTCACCCCCTTGAGCTGCGATGCTTTTGTATCCATGGCAGAACTACCTGACTTATTCAAGCGAACAGGGAAGCAATGCACGTAGCTCTGGAGCGAGCACTTAGCAGTACCACAGGGGCATTGCTTGAGGGAAAGGAGCCAGGAGAGTTGGCAGTGACCAGATAAAGGGGCTGGGGCTGCTCTGTGTAAAATCGCTGCACAGAGCAGGTAAATATAGACATGTATGGTTCTAAAAAAAAAAAAAACGAAGCTTTAGTGTCATGTTTATCTCTTCCCACCTGTAATCAGTAGAATTTTACACTCCTTCACTATGCCCCATGATGATGGTATGTTACTTTTCGTCCTCCCTTTAAAGTGATTCTAAAGGCAGAAAGCATTCCCCTTTATCCACACTTGGGACGAAACCTTGGCTGCATATGTGTGGTGGCTGTGCATTAACCACTTCCATACCGGGCACTTTTACCCCCTTCCTGCCCAGGCCAATTTTCAGGTTTCAGCGCTCACACTTTGAATGACAATTGTGCGGTCATACAACATTGTACCCTAACTAAAATGTTATCATTTTCTTCACATAACTAAAGATTTCTTTTGGTGGTATTTAATCACCGCGCTGGGTTTTTTATTTTTTGCTAAATTAACAAAAAAAAAAACATTTTGAAGAAAAACTTTTTCTTTCTGTCATAAAAGTTTGCAAATCATAAATTTAGGCCAAAATGTATTCTGCTACATGTCTTTGGTGAAAATAACCCAAATTAGTATTTTAGTCTGTAGGAAAGTTATAGAGTTCACAAACTATGAAATATATATGAATATTGATCAATCCTGAAGTACTGACGGCTAATCTAATTTGTTGAGGTCCAAGAATGTCAGAACAGTACAAATATCCCCTAAATGATCCCTTTTTGCAAAGTAGACAGTCCGACGTATTTCATAACAGGCATGGCGAGTTTTTTGAAGTTGTAATTTTTTTGTCAAATGAAGAAATTTAAAAAAAAAATGATTTTTTCACATTTTTTTTTTTGTTTACTTACTGTCACCAGTGCAGTAGCTGTGATTTGGCCACATCTAATCACATGACACAGTTGGGCTGTGATTGGCCCAGCTTGTGCATGTGATCGCTGTGACCCTTCACAGCTAGCCACACTTGTATACAATGGATCACATGAAAGGAAGCCATCCATTGTATACAACTGTCATGTGACCTGCTGTAATTGGTCACAGCAGGTCACATGGTACTGGCAAGGGGGCCAGTACACAGAAATCTGTCATCGGCCATGTCTAATGTACATGGCCGACAGATCTGACACATGGCCGGTGACAGATCACACCGCTGCGCAGCTCTGCGGGCACGCAAACTGCTTATGCCTGAAAGGACGCCATATGGCGTCCACCCGGAGGGACGAGGTGCTCGTCTGGCTGCCATCTGGCCATAGGCCGGGCGGGAAGTTGTTAAAGACCACTTTTCCTGCCACCACATACATGGGATATGTGATCTGTTTTTAACCACCTTCCGCCCGCCATATAGTACGACGGGCGCAAGGTCGTTCTCTCGTTCTGATAGGACGTCATATGACATCCTTCCATTCTCACCGCGCATGCGCAGCGATTGCCGGTGCGCTGTGTCCTTCGGACACAGCTGATCACGGGTCACGGAAAGAGCCGAAGATGTCAGCTCGGTCATGTGATCAGCTGTGTCCAATCACAGCTGATCACATGTAAACACGGAAATGCTGGTTATCGGCATTTCTCTCCTCTCGAGCTGTCACGCTAACCGCTCGAGAGGAGAGGAGAGCCGGTAATCGGCTTTCCGCGGAGGGGACATGTACACTGATCATCAGGGCACTGATGATCAGTGTGGCCCCAGAAGTGCCACCTGTCAGTGTCCGTCAGTGCCCATCAGTGCAACCTACCAGTGCCTCCCCATCAGTGCTGCCTATCAGTGCCCATCACTGTAGCCTCATTAGCGCACATCAGTGAAGGAGAAAAATCACTTCTTTACAAAATTGTATAACAAACGTTTTTTTTTTTTTTCAAAATTTTCAGTGGTTTTTGGTTTAAGAAAAAAATAAAAATCCCAGAGGTGATTAAATACCACCAAAATAAAGCTCTATCTGTCTCAAAAAAATGCTAAAAATGCCATATGGGTACAGTGTTACATGACCGTGCAATTGTCATTCAAAGTGTGACAGCGCTGAAAGCTGGAAATTGGCCTAGGCAGGAAGGGGGGGTATAAGTGCCCTGTAGGCAAGTGGTTAAAAAGATTTTTGAGATCTAATTTACCTGCAGGTGTATCTCAGATGTGTGTACTATATTTGGAACAAATGCTTATGCTGCAGTTTTTTAAACACAATATGCAATATTTAGAAGTAGTACTTAATGTACAGTATCATATTCAGCATTGGTTTTAATTTCAGTTTTGCTGTGCTCCTAATACTTTTTCCAAGCATGTTTCATCAAATGAATGAAGCTTGATCATCCTAAACTAAAAATTTTGTAAACCATCTTCTTTTGTCAGTGTTTGAAGATACTGTGGAGGAACGGGTCATCAATGAGGAGTATAAAATATGGAAAAAAAAAACACTCCTTTCCTTTATGACCTGGTGATGACACATGCCCTAGAGTGGCCTAGTCTTACTGTGCAGTGGCTTCCAGATGTTACAAGGTAACGCTCATATTGCATTATGCGATGTACATCTTTCTTGTTTTACATGTTTCTGTGCAAATTATTTTTAAAGGGTAACTCCACTTTCTTTTGAAAAAATAAAATGGGAAAATATAACATACAATTGTGATGCTAGTCATGTTGTAATTAAATTAAACAAGCATAAAGGGGGTTGGAGGAAGAGAGCACAGTCAAGTATCTACCTCCACTTTTCGGTTGATTTTCTGGTACCACATCCTTTACAAACAAGTGTTACACCTCACAAAAACCCTAGAAAGGCCTACATAGGATTTTACAGGTACCGCAACATTTAGAGTAAATGTTTTTCTTTAACTGCAGTGCTGTAATTTTCTGTAAAATTCAATGCAAAATTGCTACCTGGAGGTGTTCTATACACAGATGGAACGCCCTCCATAAATGTAATTTCCTGCTTGTGTAAATTGACTTACTGAATTTCCCAAAAGTCTGCACTAAGATACAAGTCACATTTTGGGCATCCTCTGAAACGAATACTCCCAAAGGGAAATTATGTCTAAAGGAATGCACACCTTTTAACTTTCCCTGTGAGAGCCTTGCAGGTGCAGCAACTGATAAATAAATTCACTCCCATTCAAAAATACTTTGCACATGGATGCAACGGCTATTTCTTCAGAATAACAAAAGGTAGGAATCTGAAACCTAGTTTAAAAGCCTTGCAATGCACATAGATCACCCAGAGGGGAATTTTTTTTTTTTTCTCAAAAGAAAAAAAAAAGGGTGAGTTACTTTTTAAACTGTCATTACTAGCTTTCCTAAGGTGGACTTGGCTCTACTTTTCTTGTAGGTTTTATTTGTATATTTGTCTTTATCCTGTAGACCAGAAGGAAAAGATTATGCTCTGCATTGGTTGGTACTTGGCACTCACACATCAGATGAACAGAACCACTTAGTAGTAGCGCGAGTTCAGATACCCAATGATGACGCACAGTTTGATGCATCTCACTATGACAGTGAGAAAGGAGGTAGGCTTTAATATTTGTTATAGTACTATATTCTGTGATTTTTTTTTTTTTTTTTTTTTTTTTTTTTTTTTTTTTTGCTTAAAAATCCATGTTTTCATATCTGTGAAACAGGCCCGCCCACTATTGATTCAGATACAAGGGAATCTTTTGATGACCTCTTTCCATCACAGAAATGTTGGACGCTATCTCAGCAACCCTCTCAGGCAAAAGTCCAGGCGCCGATGGATTTACCCCTGAGTCCTATAAGACCTTCAAAGATGTTTTCTCCCTTTTTATGTTGCCTGTTTTCAATTCCTTCTATGCTGGGTCCTCTTTCCTACCACAAACTTTGGAAGCTCACGTTTGGATTCTTCCTAAGCCGGATAAAGACTTGAGACTCTGCTCCAGCTATCGACCCATTTCTCTGATTGGTGTGGATATTAAGATCTATGCCAAAATGATCGCCACCTACATACAGCTTTTACTCCCTTATCTAATCCATGCGGACCAAGTAAGGTTTGTACAGGGACACCTTGAAAACTCTCTTGGTCATGAACCATGCTCCATATGTTGGACTCCCTGTCTGCCTCTTATCTATTGCTGCTGAGAAGGCATTTGATAAGATGGGGTAGCCATTGGCGTAAGCGCCATCTCAAATAGGGTTGGGTCCTGGCATACCTCTCCTACTGCTAGAATTCTCCTGAATGGCTCTTTAACGCCGAGCTTCTCTATAACCAGTGGCACCCAGCAGGGTTGTCCATTATCCCTTCTTTTGTATGTCCTGGTAATGGAACACTTTGCGGTAGCACTTCGTAGTGACCCTAATATTACTGGCATCCCCGTTGGCTCGAATGAGGTGAAATTGGCTCTTTTCGAGGATGACCTACTGCTTTGTTTCTAACCCACATATATATCTGCCTTCTATTTTATTAGAACTCCAACGGTACAGTGAATTCAGTAATTTTAAGGTCAATCTTACAAAATCTGAGAGTCGAACGTTTCTCTGTCCCCTCTTAAAGTGGAGTATCACTCAACCTATCAAATAAAAGTCAGCCAGCAGCTACAAAAACTGTAGCTGCTGACTTTTTAAAAAACAGCCACTTGCCTGTCCCTTGGTCCCGTGGTGTGTCGTTTTTTTTTTTTTTTTCTCTTCTCTTTCTGGTGCAAGACTGGATGAGACAAGGCGATGGTTATCACTAGTGCACCCTGTCCCTCCCCCCTGGGCTGGGCTGGTCTCTGTTCTCAGGTATGGTAAAGGCCTTCCCTTTGGGCCCAGATTTACCTATACTGTATAGGCCATTTTATATGCAGCTGTGGGCTCTATACTTGATGTCGATTACTGCTGTCATCTAGCTCCAGGGTGTTTGTTTTTTTTTTTCTTTACTGTAGACATTGTTTCTTTTTATTCTTCTCCCATCCACCCTATTTCTGTATTTTTGTTTTGTATTTCATTATTGTCTATGTAGATGGATTTTACCTTTCTGTTAAATTTTATAAAACCTCAAACTCAGATTGATCATAAAAATCCATGTTTTCAAGAAATCATACTTTATTGCCATGGGTTTGACTTGTAAAATGTAGTAGTTGAAGTGTCCTAATACATTCATTTTCCTTGTTTAGAGTTTGGTGGCTTTGGCTCTGTTAGTGGCAAGATTGAAACTGAAATTAAAATTAACCACGAAGGTGAAGTGAATCGGGCCAGGTACATGCCTCAAAACCCTTGTATAATTGCAACCAAAACCCCCTCCTCTGATGTCTTGGTATTTGATTACACAAAGCATCCATCCAAACCTGGTGAGTAACAATTATCTCACATTTTACTGTTTGTATTACAAAAAAAAACCCTTTTTATAAAATCCTTGTTACATAAGGAAACCTGCTTTGAAGCCTTTCACCTTTTCACACCCTCTGCAATGAACCCAGTAGTTGACGTCACTCTGAAATGCTCTGCATGGGGAGGAGACCCATCAAACATAACGGCAATTAAAGTGCCCATAAAGTTGAAATTCATATAGATAGAAAACAAAACTCAAAATTAAAGTGATTGCGAACCCTTAGCTTGTAAAGCAATCCATTCAGTTTAAAATAGAATTGAAAGGCAAAACATGTACAACTTTTTTTTTTTTTTTTCCCTTTTTTTAGTTCACATTCCCTCTGTTCTCAGCTGCATAAGAGCTAGGAGAGGAGAAACAGCACACTGATATTCCCAGTAAAAGGCTGTGCTGAAGGGTGGGGAGTCAGGCTTGTGTCAGCAGAAGTCTGATCATTCTCGGCACAGCTATAGAATGGACAATGATCTCTCATGCCTAGTTTGGTCAGAGGAAACCATACAAAAAAAAAAGATACTTTTTCATACAAGTACATGGTACAGCAAGCACATATCAGGAATATGAAATTGTTAGGTTTATATATTCTTTTTAAACCACTTTTAAAATGCATCTGTTTAAAAACTAAAGCTTGACTATATTACACCAGTAGAATGTCTTGTTTTGAAATTGTTTTAAGAATGCTCACTTGATTTTCTAATTGTTGGGTCAAATCAACATTTTGTTTTTCAAACTAATCTAACTGCATATAATTTTCGTTCAGGAGAATAAAATGGTGGAAGTTGCTATTTTTATGACACACGATATTTGCATAGCTGTTTATCAAACACTGATTTTCAGGAAAAAACACATTGTTTATTGCACACAATAGAATGCTAATTTTTTTGTAAAATATATAAGACATTACGTTGCATAAATAGTTCCTAAACGTGAAGATTGCAACAAATTATGGTACAAAAGAAAATTTTCATAGGTGACACTTTACAGATATACAGTAGTGTGTGTCTGTTAGAACCCTCAGTGTCCCCCCCACCTTCCAAAGCAGCTAAATCACAAATCATTCTTGATTTAGTTGTTTCCCTGACTGTAACAGTCGGCATGGAAGCTCAAACTGGAAGAGGTGAAATCCATCTCTTCAAATTAGCCAGAGGCGATCAGGGCACAGGTGTTCCTCAATCTTCTTTGTGTGAAGATGTGCTAGCTGTTTACTGTGGGTGGCGGGACCACCTTTTGTACCATGTGGTCAGTGATCACATGGTACAGACAGGGCCAATCACAGCCCATCTGTACCATGTGATCAGCTGTGGCCAGTCATAACTCGTAATGAATTGGGGTAATTTTGGTACAAGTGGTTGTTTATACCAGTGAAATTCAATCCATTGTGTGTGCGGGGGGAGAATCAGGGGCGTGCTCTCAGCACATGTTCTTTTTTTTTTTTTTTTTTTAATAGAATGCAAATGTGCGGCTGCTTGGCGTCTAGGCCGGGATGCCGCATGTTTGCATTCGACCGGCTTGAAGAGGTTAACTATGGTAACAATGTTGCGCTGCGTATACAAATCAACTAGTGAATAAACAAATGTAGCATACAATAACCTGAACCCTTCCGTGAATGTTAACTTATTAGAAAAGTGCCATTCAAATAAAAGTCCAATTAAACATATTCTCCGTGAGTGTAAGTGCCATTACTCTTATATCCAGTGAATTTGTATCCACCACCACCAAACACATCCTCTTACCGAGAGTATAGACCCCAAATTACAGGTGGTCTATCAAGGCATGAAGCTGTGTAGGTCACAATCCCACCCATCCACCACAGGAATACTCCGATGTAGCGTTCTCCTTCTCCTAGCTTTATGCAAGCCAAAATCTACTTGCAGCGTTTCCTATAAAAATTTGTGTGTAACAAATGCCACTGGTGCCGGCTCCAGAAGGCAGGGATGACTTGAGCATGGACTTCTTCCCGATGAACGTTTCGTCCCAATGGCTGTTTTTAAGGGGACTAGTCTAATGGACGTTTTCATCATTCATTAGGTCTAATCGTATGTTGGGGAGAAGGAGTCTATGCTAACATCACCCCCGCCAGCTGGATCTGTCAACAGCGGCGTTTGGGAAATATTTTATTGTGTAAAAGCTGAGTAATTACTCGGCTTTTACATAAAATTCACCCATAACATTGTGGTACTTCACTATTGGCGATTTTTTTTTTTTTTTTTTTTTTTTTTTTTTTTTTTTTTTCCCCCCCCCCCCCCTCTTCATCTGCGCCCTTGCATAAGACTGGGAGAAGGAGACCGCTACATCAAACAATTCCTGTGGTTAATGAATGGGATTGTGACCTACCCAGCTTCATGCTTTAATAAACCACTTGTAATTTGGGGTCTATACTTTTGGTAAGAGGCTGTGTTTGGTGGTGGATACACAAATTCACTGGATATTCTAGATTAACAGCATTTACATTCACGGATAATGTTTTAATTGCACTTTTATTTGTCACTTTTCTAATAAGTTAATAACCTATTCATGGAAGGGTCCAGGTTGTTGTATGTTATATTTGTTCACTAGTTGATTTGGTTTGTATACACAGCGCAACATATTGGATATTTATGTTTCAAGCACATATTTGCTTTGAGTGCGCCTGGGTATTAATCGCTTCTCGACCGCCCTATAGCAGAAATACTGCTACAGGGTGGCGTGTGTGTGTGTTGTGTGTGTGTGTGTGTGTGTGTGTGTGTGTGTAAATATAGTGTGTATATTTTATGTTTTGTGTGTGTTTTTTTTTTTTTTTTTTTTTTTCCTCCATCTCCGGGCGGCCGTAAATCACCAGGTCCCGAATGGTGATTACTCGCTGCCGCCCAGTGATTGCCAAGCATCTCTGACGGGGCGGAGAACTGTTTGTAAACAGCTCATGCACACTGCTTTGGATGGCTGTGCTGTACAAAGCAGTGCGTTGACAGAGAAGCACACACTAACCCTTTGATCACCCCAGATGTTAACCCCTTCCTGCCCAGTGCCATTAGTACTTGCTGTCAGTGCTTAGTGAATAGTCAATATCAAGCTTTTTGGAACATTTTTAATGCATTGGGACGCAAAAGGCAGAGGTTTCTTTTTATAATGAAAATCTTTTCGATTTTGTAGGCAGGAACAAATTATGGTGCTGCTTATGAAAGTCTTTCTGGAAGGGAATTACTGGTACAAGTACCTGCTGATTTTTTTCCTTTTTTGTTTTGTAGACCCCAGTGGAGAGTGCAACCCAGATCTTCGATTAAGAGGCCACCAAAAGGAGGGTTATGGACTCTCTTGGAACTCTAATCTGAGTGGACATTTACTCAGTGCATCTGATGACCATGTAAGTAATTTGTGATGCATTTAATGTTATCTGATGCAGCATAGGAGGAAAGTTGTCTTTTAGAGAGACGGATAAAAACAATCCTTGTATTTTCATCAGTAGCACTCAAGCTACTGCTGAATTGGTTCATCTGATGTGATATACCATTAGTCACTAACACTAACCATTTCTACATAGTATAAACCAGGGGTCCTCAAACTGCGGCCCGCCGAGGACATTTATCCGGCCCGCCGGGCAGGGGCGTATCTGCCGTAAGGCAACCTAGGCATTTGCCTAGGGCGGCACTTTTCAGGGGAATCGGCAGTGCGCCCCCCCCCCCCCCCCTTTTCCCATGGAAGGGACACTTCCATGGGAAAGATACAGGGGCAGGGCTGCCATGGCTGAGGGACTGGCTGCAGAGAGAGCGGAGTGGTGGGCGGATCCCCGGAGTGAGGGACGGGGCCCACTGTCAGTGTGCCGGTATCCAGGTGAAGGCCAGAAGGAGGAAGCAGAAGAGGACAAGGTCAGGGGGGCGGAGCCGACTTTAGTCTTGCCTACGGCAGCACAAAACCAAAATACACCACTGCCGCAGTCTCTGGTCATCTCATGTACTATGTCTGCAGTCTCTGGTCATCTCCTGTACTGTGTCCGCATTTGTTCATATTTATTTATTTTTTAAACTATAGTCCGGCCCTCCAACTGTCTGAGGGACAGTGAACTGGCCCCCTGTTTAAAAAGTTTGAGGACCCCTGGTATAAACATTTAATGGATAATTACTCCTACAAATTACCCAGCCTGGTTTTCAAAAGTTTGAGTCTTCTGGCTTTGTGTAGTGGAAGTAACCTTATTTCGCTACCTGGCCTCTGTGTGGGGATGTTTAGTGCTGTATCATCAGCAGTTCTTGCTACAGAATGAGGGTGCCTGCCCATGCACAAATGGCCACTGGGATAAAACTTAAACTTTATTAGGCCTTTATAAAAAAATATTAGTCTGCATGTGTGCTTGTTGGGGAAGGGGGGGGGATTCTGTAAGGTCTCCAAAAATGGCAAAACTCTTGAATCAGCTGGTGGTTTCTTTATTATAGCTGTCCATTAATAAAACTAAATCCCCAACTAATGCTTAATGTAGTGAGCTTTCCACAAATTTGGATTATAGATAGGGAATCGCAGGCACGGAATCTGTCTCTGACAAGGAGTTACAGAATGCAAGCTAAAGATAGTTATTACAGAGGTTGCAGAATAAATTATCGTGTCACCAATATTTTCCTCCATTCATACCAAAAGAGGATACAAAACAAATTGAAAAGAATCCCAGTGTCCTGATAGTGGAACGTGACTACAAAAATTTCCATGAGGAAAAGGGAAAAGTGTCACGTTCTTTTATGTACCCTTTTCTTGAAACACTGAATGCAGATATACCCGATTCCTAATTCAGGGATAAAACAAAATAATCCAGATGTCCTGGGGACTACAACAATCAAAAAGGGCATTTGTCATTTGACTGCCATGATTGGCTCCCGACCCATTAAGATTACAGTCCCAAATGACTGAAAGCATTTTCATTTGATGACCACCGGTAACTGTGCTGGGGTCGCGCAGGCTGCCGTTCACAGCATTGTTTACATTTTGGTGCACATATATGCAGCCTCTCAGCATTAAGGCCCACCCACTGAGAGGCCGCATATATGTGTACGGCCGGTGTGAAGAGGTTAAATTCCCTTATCCGCTGTGCCCCATCCAACAGGATAAGCTGGAAAACCATGTGTGCCCCAAAAAACAGAATCAAAGTGCTTCCAAAACAAAGACCCATGTTTTCGCTGTGATGGTTTCTTCAGGGGTGTCAAAAAAGAAAAACAAATGCCTAAATCAAAGAAAATGTGCAAGCAGGACCACGTGGCAAAATAGTTGCTTTCATGTTCAGTCCTATTTTATTATTTTTCATCAGCAGTTGTACACACGAGGGGTTTTGTGCCAGTATTCCTAGAAATGATCCTGTTTTCAGGCACCTCCCAATTTGCTTGCACCCTTTAGCCTTAATGAACAAAAAACAATTTTTTTTCTATTTTCCCATTTTAAAGTTTTTTTTTTTTTATGCCATCTTTTTCCCATTTGGGGGATTTCCATTCACTTCCTGTCCAATAACCAAAAGAGAAATTGAGAGGAATTCCATTTAAAGTGAGAGAATCCCTGGCTTTCACCCAGGGTCACCAGATCTAGTTTCTTCGTTGGAATATTTCCTATCTCTTACTGTACTGGGGACAAAGCAATAAAAGCCAGATGTGTTCAGCCAGCTGTCAGCTGAAAACTGGTCATAGGAGTGCATAATGAACTGCACTCCTGTGATCCAAAAAGAGTTTTGGCTGTATTTCTAAATAGTTAATTGGTGGTAGTGTAAATTGTGTTAGAACATAATGGGTCATTACTGCTGCTGGGTGGTTGAAAATCTATGGATAAAGCCAGACGTTGTTTTTGTAAAGCTATTATTATTCAGGAGTTATATAACGCCAACAGTTTGCTCAGCGCTTTACAATATAACGGGAGACAATACAGCAACAATACAGTTTAATACAAGAGGGATAGGATGTCCCTGCTCCTTGGAGCTTACAATCTAGGAGGGAGGGGCTAGTGGTACAAAAGGTAGTAACTGTGGGGGATGGACTGGTTGGAAGAGTAGAAGATTTCCAGTATTAGCTGAGGGCAGGATAGACTTCCCTGAAGAGAGGTTTTCATAGATCGCCTAAAAGTGAGCAGAGTAGCCAATAGTCTGATAAATTGGGGTACAGTTCCAGAGGATGGTGGAAGCTCTGGAGAAGTTCTGGAGACGAGCATTGGAGGAGGAGACAAGGGAGCTAGAGAGTAGGAGGTCTTGCGAGGAGCGGAGAGTACGGTTTGGGTGATATTTAGAGATAAGATCAGTGATGTAATTTGGGGCAGAGTTATAAATGGCTTTATCTGTTGTTAGTGTTTTATCCGTTGGGCAATGGGAAGCCAGTGGAGGGTTTGGCAGAGAGGGGTGGCAGATACAGAACGGTTAGTAAGGTGGATGAGTCTGGCAGCAGCATTCATGATAGACTGAAGAGGGGATAGCCTGCGATGAGGTAGGCCAATGAGGAGTTACAATATTAAAGGTGAGAGAAAACAAGGGAGTCAATAAGTTGCTTAGTGGTTTAGTGGTTTCCAGGGTTAGGAACAGTCCTATCTTGGAGATGTTGTGGAGGTGAAGTCTGCAAGATTTGGACAGTGATTGGATTTGGGACTGAAAGGACAGATGGGAGTCTAGTATTACACCTAGCACCCTGCCATGAGGGGAGGGACTGATGGTTGTGTTATTGATCTTGATGGAGAAGTCATCAGGGGAGAGGGCACAGGCTGGGGGGATTACTAAGAGCTCAGTTTTGGAAAGATTTAGTTTGAGGAAGTGGAGTGACATCCATGCCAATATGTCACTTAGTAGGTTAGTAATGCGAGAGGAGACTGAAGGGGTGAGGTGAGGGGTAGAAAGATAGATTTGTGTGTCATGAGCATAGAGTTGGTACTTAAAGCCATGGGAGTTTATCAAGTGACCAAGGGAGGAGGTGTAGATGGAGAAGAGGAGGGGTCCAAGGACAAAACCTTGAGGGACCCCTACAGAAAGAGGGAGTGAAGAGGAGGTGGCAGCGTTATAGGTAACACTGAAGGAGCGCTGCGATAGCTAGGAGGAGAACCAGGAGAGAGCAGAGTCTGTGAGGCCAAGAGAGTGGAGTTTTTTGAGGAGGGGATGGTCAACCGTATCAAAAGCCGCAGAGAGGTCACATATTAAGAGTACGGAGTAGTGGCCATTGGTTTTAGTTTTAAAAAAAAATTAAAATAAAAAAAATACATTTATTCTCTATTTGAACTTTAGGCAAGTATGAAGACTGACTTTGTCCAGTTATGTACTTTGTTAAATTTGGTTATCCAGACTGTTTGTACAATTCAGCCATAAAGTTGTGCTTCAAGCTTGTCAGTATGTTACAATCCAAAGTCCGTCAGGCCCATGTGTTTTATCATGAGTAGAAGTAGGTAGGTATCTTGCATAGATGAGACAGCACAGTGTGGTGCTCTTTCATAGTTCGGTAGGTAACATAAGCTACAATACTAAAAGGAGAAGTATTGCCAAAGTTGTGTTTTTTTTTTTTTGGCTATAATTATGTAATGGTAGTTACGTTTTAAAGTTTGTTTTTCTTTAGGTTGGTTAAATTCTATTTGATTGCTAAAATCCTATTCTGCTTTCAGACTGTTTGCTTGTGGGATATAAGTGCTGGACCAAAAGAGGGAAAAATAGTTGATGCTAAAGCCATCTTTACAGGCCACTCAGCAGTCGTAGAGGATGTAGCCTGGCACCTTTTGCATGAATCTTTGTTTGGCTCTGTTGCAGATGATCAGAAACTCATGATGTAAGTTTGATTTTTCTCCGTTTTTACTATTTAATGCACATGCACTTTATTGGGAACTCTATACCAATAGTGGTGGTGGTGGGGGGCCTGTTCGCTTAAAAACTGCCTTGGTTTTTCAACATGTTCAGAAATAAGTTTCTGCTCAACACAGTTCTAAAGATTGGTATTTGGAGTTAACCGTAGCCTTTTTGTCAACTGCAACCAGTCTGTTCTTCTTTGACTTCTTTTAATGGAACATTTCCATCCACAGAACTGACTTCTCATTGAATGTGTTTTTCACTATTCTGAGTAAACTCGAGACTCTTGTGAATGAAAATCCCAAGAACATAATTATGGAAATACTAAAAATTGCCTCTGGTACCTACAATCATTAGTCAAAATCACTGCTATCACATTTAGTCCATTGTTCTGGTGTTTAATTTGAATATTTACAGAGTTTGACCTATCCCTACATTGTGCTGTTTTAATACATTATTGGATAATTGCATTAATAAGCGGGTGTTAGTAATAAGATGCTTTTTGAGTGTAACTATACAGACAAATTTATAGTTTAGTGATCTTGAGATGAGCATGCCTATGTATATATTTTACAAAATTGCATTATTTTGTGTACTGCTTATAATTTACCACACAGTCCATGTCCGTTCATATATGTGGATTGGATGCGGTTTGAATCGCATCCAGTCTGCATGATGTGAAATAACATTGATTCCTATGGTGCCTGTTCACATATGTCTAATGCACTGGCAGTGTGTATTGAAAGTCATGTCCGATTTCAGAGCAGTGCAATCCAGTTAAGGTGCGGTCTACAGGCTATTGACTTCTATGGGAACCGCTTCTGAATCGCACAAGTTATAAACAGGATTTCAGTTCAAGATCAGGTTTCAACAAGGTTTGCTTTCCTCTGCCCCTTCTTTCCATCTCCGCTAAACCACATCCAAGCCGACCCTGAACCTGTGAACAGTCTAATTCACAAAAACTGGTCCTGAACCACTGGACAAGTATATTACAATCTGCACTAAAATCGGACCTTGAAACCCTGAACGCACATGTGTGAATTGGTTGTGAGCTAACGTGTGTGTGTGTGTGTGTGTGTGTGTGTGTGTGTGTGTGTGTGTGTGTGTGTGTGTGTGGTTTTTGCCATTTAAAAAAAGTGTCTTTTAAGGGTTTGTTCAGATGTGTGGCCAAGGTAGTGGTAAAGGCAGGCAGTTGAGCTGCTGTATTACCATAATCCCAAGCCTCCTCTCCCCCCCCCCCCCCCCATTGCCGTGCCAGAATGAAACCCTTTGCTGCACTTTTCAGGTGGTACTGCCGCTGAATGTGATCCACTAAACTTTAATGGCCCAATGCTTTGTCACCAGACAGTGAGGAGGTGACATACCTCCCAGCTGCCTATCAACCACCCTCTAAAAAGCAATCCATCTTGAATGGGCTGCACTGACGGGGCAGTATGATTGATTGAGTTTTTTTTTTTTTTTTGTATTTTGTTAGCTTTACTGAAGTGACATTTTTAGGCAGTGTGGGCTGCTGTGTGATGAGGTGTAGTAAAATGCAGCATGTCTGCATTTCATCACGCCTGGATCTCCCTACTGCTCAGTGTGGCTGGGGCACATAGAAAACTGTCTATTGTCAGAAAACGCCAGTCACTACTTTAGTCACAGCCTTTAATGTGTGATACACACATCCTTTTTCTTCAATTAAAAAGACTACCTTTTTTGAAGTGGCACAAAAGAAATCAATATTTACCTTCGTTCCAATGGTCTGATGGCTGCAAGGTTCTTTGCTGGCATCCTCTTCCTAGCTTCTTTCAGATGCTACTGTTTGACTGTCTTAACCTGTGTGGGATGTCACTCCTGTTTATTTTGTGTCCTTCATCCCTATACACTGGCACTGCGTTGGAAATGCACAGCTCCATTTACATTTTGCAGAGGATTGTGTATTTTTATTCAGGAAAGATATTGCATGTTGGCAAAATTATTGCCCTTAGTTTTCTTGCCTTTCCAAATCAGCAAATTTTGTTTTATAAAGCTATTTTGAATAGTGCACGTTTTTATAATATGGTTAAAACTTTATGGGCTAGTTGACAATAGATGCACTTCAGTGCGCTTTTTTTCTTAATAAAAAAATGCATGCACAGTGTTTTCGATGTACTCCAATAGCCCTAGTTCACACTAGTGCAGTCAGTTTCCAGTGCAGAAAAAAAAAAAATAGAACATGCTGCATTTTTTTCTGCACAGAACCATACTGGAGCATGGCAAATTGCACCAGCACGGTGTGTGGTGTGAACTGTAAGCAAAATTGTATCTAGAATGAATTCAGAGTGCAATTTTGTAGTGTAAACTGGCCCTAAGGGAATGTTGGTATGTGGGGGAAGTCATTGTTATGCTATTGATTAAACTATAATTTTATATTGCCAGTTGGGACACTCGGTCTAATACAACATCAAAACCAAGTCACTCAGTAGACGCGCACACTGCAGAGGTCAACTGTTTGTCCTTCAATCCATATAGTGAGTTTATACTAGCCACAGGATCTGCTGATAAGGTTAGTGCCTGCTTTCACAGCAAAAGGTTATTTTGAATTGATAACACACCTCTAGAGATAGTTGAAAGTCTAATTTGGGATAGTTTAAAAGTATAATTAAGGATGAATCTAATTTGGAATGCTACAGCAGGCGGGAATTTGCTTAAATCTGACAAGTTGACTTTCGGCTGTCCAGTGGAAAAAAATTGATTCCACATACCCCTGGCAACGTGTTAAGCGATGCTTCAGTTTCTGGTGTCTGTCTCTCTGGATGGTCTGGCTGGGAAAGAAGCTTATGGAGCAGGATCTGTACTAAGCAAGTTTTTTAGGAGGGCAGGCGAGACCTTGAGGGTCTTTTTTAGACCGAATATGTTGCCAAAAGAGTTGGGGGACTTGGTCTCTGAGTAGATATAATTTTGTTTAAAAAGAAAAAAAAAAAATAGGCATTTTCTGACACTTTGTATGCATATTAAAAAAAATCATTTTTTTTTAATTAAAGAAAATTATTTAAAAACCTAGAGAATAAAATAGTGGGTTTTGTATTTTTTTTTTGTTACACAGTATTTTCTCAGCAGTGTTTCAAATGCAATTTAAAAAAAAAATACTTTTAATGAATTTTAATGCTCACGATATAATAATTGCTAGGCACACATTTAACCCCTTAATCGCCCTAGATGTCAGCCCCTTCCTAGCCAGCCATAAAAGTCGGTGTTAAGCCGAATAAATTGATACCCAACAATATTTATTTAAGAATCTCCATAGGCAACTCTTTAAAAGCCTTTGCAGGTTACCAGTTTAGAGTTACATTGGAGGTCTGGTGCTAAAATTATTGCACTTACTATGACATTCGAGGCAATACTTTGGAAAGATCGTCATTTACATATGCGCTCAGTACCAGCCTGTGTGCTCGCCTTTGTGCACAAGCATGGGGAGATGGGTGCCTTTTAAAACTTTTTTTTTTTTTTTTTCTTAGAAATTTATTTTACTTAAAATTTTTTGATCACTATCATTGCTGTCACAAGGAATGTAAGCATGCCTTGTGATAAGCAGTGACAGGTCCTCTTTCTACCCAAACACCCAAATTGACCTCTGCCCCACCCTGACATGGTCACACATACGACCGTAACACATGCATCAGGTGCCTGCGCACAAAAAATGTTGATTGCACAACACATTGCATATCGTCACACATTGAAGTAAGAACACTATTTCTATTCCCATTATTTATGGCATCATTTAAATCTATTAATGACCTCTTGGCTCCTACTCTTCTCTATGTGCCCCCATAACCATTGGGAGCACACAGTGAATGCTCGCTCCTGAGATGTTTCTATGGAGCTGCACTCCATAGACAAACACACAGTGGGGCTTAGCCGGCCCCCTGATTTCCTCCTCACAGTATTTAATTGACAGCTGTCAGAAGAATTTGCTCCTGCTTGCCAGAGTCTCTGTGAAGAGGGAGAGAAGAGATGCAGTCATGCAGTGCTGGATCGATTGAGGACTAAGTATCTATCTAGGGAGGTGAGGGAAGACCGAAGGCTGCAAAACATTTCTTACCTTTAATGTAGGTTATGCATTTAAGGTAAAAAAAAAAAAAAAAATTGCCTCCATCTAGAACCACTTTAAGTTATCTTCAGCCCTCAAATGATATTTTTATTTAACGTGAAAAAATGCTGTGGCAGCTAAAGGGAAATGCACAACGGCAGGGGTCTCCAAACTTTTCAAACAAAGGGCCAATATACTGTCCTTCAGACTGAGGGCTGGATTAGGGCCAGTGAGGACAGAAAATGTCCTGGGCCCCAGCATCAGTGAGAATAAACATGGCCTCAGGGTTGTTGGTCCGTAGGAGGAGTAGTTCCCCACCATTGTTATTGGTGGCAAAAATAGTACACCATCATTGGTTTCATGTGAAGAACTACTGCCCCATTGTTGGTCTCAGTTGGAGGAATAGTGCTGCAAGTGCACATCCGGCCCTCGGACCGCAGTTTGGAGACCCCTGCAATACGGGGTTCTTTCATCCCTTTTTTTTTTTTTTTTTTTTTTTATTTGAGCCACATTAGATAAAACTGATTTATGCAGTGGGTATAGACTTTTTTTTTTTTTTTTTTATAGAAAAACCTGTGGTGTGTTCCTTGGTTCTATTTATTAAAGGCTTAATTCGCAAGATTTCCCATTGATGATTCCTGGTTCTGATTTTTGGCCATCTTATATTGCTGGGGTGTTCCCAGCAGAGTGCTGACATAAGAAACTAAAGCACAGGCAACTTGATAAACTTTCCAACATCTATCAAAAACAAATGATAGTTTTGGTTTTCCTTTATGTAAATTTTGAAAGATAAGTCTGCATGATTTAGCTGTGTTTTTTCTTGTGGCACATGAATACAATTTTGCAAATGGTCATCTTTCTGATGATTGGCAAGCCAGTAATTTACAGTGAGATTTTTATCTTATGGAAATATTTGCCATTTTCCAAACAGCAAAAAGTAGTAGTTGCTTTATCATTACCCGTCATGCTTCTACTGCCATATTTATTGAACAAACTGCTTTAAAAATTGATAAATACCATGCATCCTGATGTTTTAACTTCCCTTTTTTTAATGCTTTCTTTAAGACTGTTGCCCTGTGGGATTTACGAAATTTAAAACTCAAGCTTCATTCGTTTGAATCTCATAAAGATGAGATTTTCCAGGTAAGTGTTTTGCTATCACGGTTTTAGAAGAGGTCATATCCATGGTTTAATAGCACAAGGCGTTGGCAGATAGGCAGCTTGTCTTTCCATTTTTTTGCCAAAAAGGAGAGCTCCACCATACAGAAAAGAAATTAAATAAAGCTGGTGTAGTGCCCCGATACCTGGATGGAGGCGTGACATGCAGAACTGTTTTTGCTTATTTAATAGGCATTTATTGGACATTCTTAGATTCATGTGACAGATGCATCAGTTTTGAGCAGTTTTAGTGATTTCAGGTTTTTTTGTTTTTTTTTTATTATTTTGACAAGGTTCACTGGTCACCTCACAATGAAACCATCCTTGCATCTAGTGGTACTGATCGCAGGCTGAATGTCTGGGATTTGAGGTAAGCTGTAAATATATTTTAGTATGCATAAGCAATAAATTGATGGCAAGGACTCTTTACTAGTCACAATTCAAATCAAATTAAAAGGTCAGTCCATTCAAAATGACTTTAGTTGTCAAGTGGCTTAACCACTTGTGGACCGCCCGCAATGTACTGCGGATGGATGGCCTGTGCAGGCAAAGGATGTACAGGTACGTTGCTGCCTGCTTCCGGGTTTAGGGTGTGCGAATGCAGAGTAGAGTTGAGAAACAAAGTGATCTTTAATAAAAGCAGCACACTTTACACTGCTAGGCACATTTTTAACCCCTTGATCGCCCTGGATGTCAACCTCTTCCCAGCCAGTGTCATTAGTACAGTGACCGTGTATAGTATTATCACGATTAGTGTCACTGGTGATGACCATGGCTGTCAGTGTCAGATTGCCTGCCGCACTATCACAGTCCGTTTATAAGTCACTGATCATCGCTATTAGTAGTATAAAAAAAGTAATGTACACTTGTTGGGTTTTTTTTTTTTTTAATCAGACATGTAGTGGGAGTACATTTTGGCCCAAATTTTTTGAATAAATTTTTGAATTATTAAATTTTTTAGTTTTTATAGCAGAAAATTAAATTTTTTTTTTTCAACATTTTCAGGGGTTTTTTTTTTTTTTTTTTCGTTTTTATCGCAAGAAAACGCAGTGGTGATCAAATACCACCAAAAGAGAGCTCTGTGTGTAAAAAAAAAAAAAAAAGTATGGTATAGATTTAGTTTGGTAATTGCACAGTGCTGCAACATGTACCCAGTTAAAGTAGCTGTATAGTGCTGTATCGCAAAAAATGGCCTGATCATGAAGGGGGAATATCTTCCGAATCTTAGGTAATTAACCACTTTCCTGCCGCCCTGTTGCAGAAATATTGCTACAGGGCGGCAGGAGTGCGCAAAATCACGAATGTATATATGCACAATTTAGCATTTCCAGGTGTGGGTGCGCTCGCCCTACCCGTGCCGCCATCAGCGGCCTCAGCTGTCAATCTCCAGGACCCGGACGGTGATTGCTCGCCGCAACCTGGTGTTCGCTGAGTATTACCGACGGAGAAGACTATATAAAAATGTTCTCTCTCACTTTGTATGGCTCTGCATAGCAGAAATGGTTTTACTTCATTTTCATATAATCGATGAATGCTGATTTTACAAATGTATGCAAGTTTATATTTTTTAACGCCAAATATGTATGTCTCTCTAGTAAAATTGGTGAAGAACAATCAGCAGAAGATGCTGAGGATGGACCCCCTGAACTTTTGGTAAGCTTAATTCTGTTTATGTGCTTGCATGTAAGCCTTTTGTGCCATTCAAAAAAGAGCAAATTGCAGCATTTTTTTTTTTTTTTTTTTTTTTTTTTTTTTTTTTGTAGTTTATTCATGGTGGGCACACAGCAAAGATCTCAGATTTCAGCTGGAATCCAAATGAACCGTGGGTAATCTGTTCAGTGTCTGAAGATAATATTATGCAAATATGGCAAATGGTGAGTTCAAGCAACTAACTTTGATTATTTTGTCATCTTGCACTAAAATGTTGGTATAGATTCATCTAACAGACATTTAATGTGTCACTAAAGGCAATTTTTTTTTCCATTTCAGATAGTGAGGGATGATTACTTTTTTTGTTTTTGTTTTTTTCTCTTGCTGAGATGTCCCTTCACTTCCTATCCTGTAGCCACAACAGGAAGTGAGAGGAAATCTCTCCAAAGTAAGGGAATTCCAGGGTGTTGCCAGAACTAGTGTCCCAATTGAAAGATTCCCCCTCTATTCTTTTGATGTCAACCCAATTTTTTTTTTTTTTTGTACTTTCAATGACAACAGGGCAACTAGGGTGAATCTCCCTAATGGGAGCACAGGCCGCAATTAAACTTGGCCAAGAGGTCTAATCCTTCTCCACTCTACCTAGATCTAAACAAATTGCCTTTAGTGACACTTTTAAGGATGTATAATTGAAGAAAAATCAATGACCAGCCAAGAAGGTTGAACTACTACAAAACCTAAAAATACAGTGGAGCGCGTCTTCAAATTAAATGTGAACCCAAATATTGCAAAAAAAATTTATAAAATTTTGCAGTGAACATCAGTCCATACAAGTGAACATGCATTAGAGACCAGACATTTTCTGCTCTCAAGATTTGCTGTGCTTCCACTGGTCCATCTACTCACAAAATTCTAAGCCTATAATCTCCATCTCCCACAGCTGCCAGCTATGTCAACAAAGACTGTGGTAATTGCTAACAGATTGAATTGTGTGTATGACAGCGGCTGAGGAGCAGAGTCTGTCTTTAAGAAAACACAAGCCAACAGCACATACTAGCAGCTACTACACTAGTTTCTTGGACAAATATTGTGCCACTGTCATTCCCACAACACAAGCTTTCTGCTGCTACTGTAGTTATCTCCTCTGAGCTAGCAAGAGATTGCGGGCTGAGTCTTTAACAAGTAGCAGAACGAGCTGTGGTAAGTGAACGGCTCAGCCTTTTGTTTGTACGATTAGAGTGAAGGAGGCACAGTAATGTTTAGCAGCAGTGCTGCAGAATTGAGAAGAGGCTGTGACTTCAGTGCTGCCTGAACCTCACCCATGGGAAAGCCCATAATTTGGGCTTCTTGTGAGGGTGAAGCTACAGTCAGCACTAGCTTTACTTCATACCACAGCACTGATTTATTTATTTATTCCCCCCCAGAGCATGTAGGCTTGACATATTTTAACAAGCCTTAAGAATATTTATAAACTAATGTATGCATTAAACTTTAATGTTTTCATTGCAGGCTGAAAATATTTACAATGACGAAGAGCCAGATATACAGCCTTCTGAGTTGGAAGCACAAGGTTCATAGATGAATTGTCACCTCAAACTGGCAGATGTTGCCACTTACTGTAAAGCAGTTGATATTCATCTAAGTTATCTTTGGTTCCTGTGAATACAACACACACTTTGACAGTTTCCATGTATATTGTATTGTAATGACATTGTTTGTACTTGAAACAGGGGTTGTGAAATGGTGGATTAAGAATCAAAATAAAATAAAATATTTTAACTGTGTTCTGAGTTATTCTGTAGCTTTCGAATTGTGGACCTTTCTGGATTCTTTCTTTAAATTCATCCTTGACTGTGTACATAATGTGGCAGGTTTCCTTTCTCACAACAGGCAACATTGCTGTAGCAGGATCACTACAGGTTTACATGCCAGATGGCTCATGCCAATGCCATACATTGGAAGCCCCATCACACTAGCTCATGGTGGCTGAAGAGCAGAAATGCTGTTTCTAAGAATTTGTGTAGACATTGTTCAATAGACACAAGTGGAAAGTCCAACTTCAAAACAATGCTTGTGCAGTGTACATCCTGGTTCATACTCTGCATGTGAAGATTAGAGTTTTAAACAAAGTAAATCCTTGTTTACATAATTAGTGGCTGTCCAGTGGCCAGTGAGGAGAAACGTGACCTGAAAGACATGGCAGGTTCTATGGTAGCGAAACCGATTAGCAGCTAGAGATTAGAAGGGCACACTGAGAGGCAAGTATGTTCATACAAGCACTTTATAGTGAAGGCCAAACGGCACACAAAAGAAATGGTTCCTGTAACTGGGTCTCTGCTTTGGGGCCAGATGACTTCAGCTCCAGCAGGGGAGCAATCCTAGCTTGAGGAAAGCCTTGTGTCTCTAGAATAGACTTGGTATTTGCATAATCAAGGTAGATAGATCTCTACCACAAAAAAGTTTAATACATTTTAGTGTAATGTCTGTTGTGGATATGGTCTTTTTTTCATTACAGGAGTCTGGACACAAAAGCCTTTTCATTCAAGGTAAGTTTTGAGGTTTAAGCACATCTCCTTGCCTGCTTTGAATTCCATTTAGAAAATGGGTAATGTGTAACCAAGCATCTTGGATGCCCAGTGACTCAAAGGAAACCCCCCAACCACCACTCTGGAAGAGGAGGCGATTCCCCACTTGGTAGATTCCATGTAGAACGTTTGAACCTAAAGGAACAAGTTCAATTGTCAGAGCACAATTGCCCAACTTCAGCAATTTCTTGGGACCTGAAGGCTTATAGGCTATCAGTTGTCTCCTACTCTGAGAAGTAGGATTGACTCATTGCTGAGAATAGGTCTCTTAAAGGTACGTTTTTTTTTTTTTTTTTTTTAAATAAGTGTGTTTCACACTCTCAGGCTTGGATGCCTGAGCAGGACAAAATTAACTTTTTTTTTTCTATTTTTCTTAGGTGTAGGTCTAATTACTGAAGTGCACGCTGGCTTTTTCTGGGAGGGGAGAGTACTCCTACCTCCTGTGATTTTTCCTTTGACGTATCCAAGGAGGAATCCAATAAGTATCTGCCCCCCCCCCCCCAAAAGGCAGGGATTCTTGAGGCTTTTTCTTGCAGATAAGATGCGTTTCGCTGACAACAGCATTTGAGCCCCAGGATTCATCTACACATGGACTGAGAGGCTTATCCTTTTATGTGAAGTGCATCTGCAAGGTTGTTCAGCCACTAGCAGAAGGCCACAGGAAGCAGGGCTCTAGAAACGAGGAAGGGAACAATTAAGCTTGGAGGTAGGGTCTTTAGGCTGTGGGCTTAGCCCAGATAAGAGGCCTGCAGATCACTATGGAGGCAACTGCATGTCGCGAGATTTGGGCTTTGTTTTCTCCTTGCACTGTCTGATGACGTCAAGCGACTCCTGAGTCACCAATCCATTATAGCCCAAATTGATACCGTATTTTTTGCTCCATAAGACGCACCGACCATAAGACGCACCTAGTCAAAGGGCCTCCAACCTTTGTCCACTGATCATCAAGTGTGATGGGGGGAATAAAAAAAAAAAGGTGGAGGCTATATCCAGAAGGCCTCAGCATAAAAGGAGACAATCGCACTCTTGGTATGTTACAACCAAGAGGACTAAACCTGAACAAAGCCTGGCTGCATTACTTCCCACTAAAACACAGGTTTGCTCTAGTGAGAAAGGAGGATTATTGTTGGGTTAAACTGCATTAAAAAAATACAGCAGCTAATGGTTCTAAAAGGAACACCTTTGAGTGCATCCCCTAACTGCACTACCGAGGACCTGTTCACTGCAGAGACTGCGGAACTGTGCTGTTTAATTTACAGCGCATGGTCCTGTAGAATACACTTGGAGATTTATTTCATTCTGGGGTACTCGAGCGGGAATTATATCATGGATTTTCTCTCCTTGTGCACCAGGTCAAGAGATCGCTGGGCTGCTTTGAATTCTATGTACTGGGTAGCTCATATATTGAAATCCACACCTGGGAATTAACTATAGTAACTGGCACAAAGATGCATACAATCAAGTAACTGGCACAAAGAAAAACAAAAGAAAAAAAATTATTCTCTGATTAGAATTTCCAGCTGCTAGGCTAATTCTCCCAAACATGCAAATATATGTACAGCGCTGAGCGAACTATTATATATATACTGTATATATATATATATATATATATGCATGCGCTGGAACCCAGAGTACAAGTCCACCATAAAATAATTAGCCTGCTCTCAGTCATATAGGCTTGCTTGTGCTGCAAGATTGTTTTAAACTCTCCATAGATTCTCACCACAGCAAGAACCAATCAAGTATTTCAATTCATGTATCAAACGGCTCGTCTTAAGATAATCTCACACAAAAATCACACTATATGTGATTTTTGTATATATTTTTTTTTGCATGAGGAGAGAAAATTTTAGAGTCTACACATTTGATATGTGTATGAATTGAAATACTTGATTTAGCTTTGTCATGTGAGAATCTATGGAGAGTTAAAGACAATCGTGCAGCACAAGCAATCCTATATTACTGTGACAGGGGACTAATTATTTTATGGTGGACTTGTATGAGTTCCAACATTTATAGGGTTGTGTTCCCCTTGTGTAATGTTCAGGACTGAGCTGTTGTTACTGAGCAACTCTGATCCCTCTGGTCCTGCTCCTGCATTCTTGTATGAACCAAAGCTACGATTGTAGGTTTTATTCATAAATTTCTGTGTGTGAATAAAAAATGGATTTTACAAGTATGTCAAAAAAACAAATCCATTTCAGTACAGCACAGGACACAGCAGCTTTACTGATACTTAAATGAGTTATGTGCCGTTTACAGGTGATTGGGCACTGGCAAAAAAAAAAAAAAAAAAAAACAGAGAAGTCCCCTCCCAGGCATGACCCTTCCCATTTAGGTTTGTAGCAAGCCTTAAACCACAATACAGAGGGTAGGGGATCTCTGTCCTGTAATGTATTCCTAAAAATGGATTTTTACAGGTAAGTAAAAAAAAAAAAAAAAAAAAAATCCAGCTTTCTTTGTTGTACATCTTGGGACTCAGCAGCTTTTGGAACACTTACAAACAGGGATGTCAATACTACCTTGGGACAAAAAAGACTGCTGAAGTCAAAGAACTTTTTCATGGTGGAGTACCAGAAATGGCTACTTACAGGCAAGGGTCACTAGTTCTGAAACTACAGGAGGAAGTAGTGGCAACCAGAAACACAGCCTCCTGTTATCAATAGAACCAGCTAAAGCAATCACTGCTGGGGGGGAAGAAACTGCCGAGGTTGAAATCTGTCCCTTGATTGTACTCAAAGCTAGCCCCATATCAACCCTTGTTTGGAAATAAGCTAAAATATGGCCTACAACCTACTTGGTAAGGGATGAAATTTACTAGCCTCACCAATAAATATAGGATCTCGAAGTCCTGAAGTAACACTGCTGGCTTTTAGAAGTGAAGGAAAAACAGAATCGGGGACTTTCCTCTCAAGACTCTGGCTTCAATAGCCATGCTGTCAAAGCCAATGACCATTTACACAAAAAAAAAAGGATGGGTGGAAGATTGGACCTTGCAACAGAAGGAAGGACTATCCACGATGTCGGAATACTATGTTCTGGGGCAATCAGAATTACCAGTATTCCTTCCAAGTAAATGCAAATGTAGAAGAGGGAAGGCATATATCGGGAGAACTAGTCCATGGTGTTGCCTGAACATCAACTGTAAATGCCTGAGGAACCCTGGAGATGAACCTGTTTAGTTTTGCAATGAACCTAGATGGCAAAAGGTCCATATCTGGAATGCCCCACCATTGGCAGATCTTGAAATTTTGATGGCTGAGAGTCCACCTGCCAATTTTCCACACCTTGAATGTGAACCACAGACAGGATGAGTTTCACTTCCTTCTAGACTGCCCCACGTCTTGTGCTTCCTTAATGATTTATGTATGCCACAGCGTTATCAGACTGAACTCTTTAAAGGCAGACCTTACAGCTGTGTTAACCAATGCAGGAGCTCAAGTTGAATTGCCCACAGTTACAGAATATTGATGGTTAACAACATCTCCTGTGAAGACCAAGTTCCCTGCTCCAAGAGGTGAACTCCCCACTAACCCTTTAAGCTGGCAGCTATCTTCTGCAACTTCCAGGAGGGGGCTTAAAGACTTTGCAACCTCCAACCGCAGCCATGAAGACATCCAGCAGTCCAAAGACAGGTGTTGGAGATATTGGTGAGTCCAATGCCTGTTTCCTGTTTCACACTGTCAATCCATTGTAGAAGCCTGAAATGAAACTGAGCAAAGGGAACTGCCTCAAACAAGGTGACCATTTTTCAAGACCCTCATGCAAAGGCAAGTTGAGGGATTTCTCAGTGGCCTGAGAGAATCCACCTGATTCCTCAGCTTTAAGCATTTTTTTCAGAGAGAGAATTACTCTCATCTGGATAGTATCCAGGATCAGACCAGAATATTTCAACTGCAGGGACCAGCACAGATTTCTTGAGATTTAGAATTCAGCCAAGCATCTGCAAATTGTGTTCTAAGAGAGGAGCAGATTGCTCCCCAGAAGCAAATCATCCAGGCACCCCACAACAGACATCCCCTGGGCCCATAGCAGGCCCTAGAATGGGAAGAGGGGGGGGGAGGGTGTCTGGTATAGGCCGAATGGCAGGGCCATAAATTGAAAGCGACAAAGCTCTACCGCAAACCATAGTAACCTCTGGTAAGGAGGAAAGATCAGGACATGTGGGTAGGCATCCTTTATGTCCACCAATGCCATGTAAACCCCCAGCTGGAGAGAGGTTACCACTGAAAGCACTAATTCCATTTATAACTTCTGCACCTACAGAAACCTGTTGAGATGTTTAATGACCAGGATAGGGCAAACATGATTGTTTGGTTTAAAAACTAAAGAGATATGAATATATCCCACTGAACTTTTCAGGGGCTGGAACCAGAACAATCACTGCCTGAGAAAAGATGGTCAATAGCTTGCAAAAGCGCTAATCTTTTTTTTACAGATACAAAGGAAACATTTGAAAGGAGGGAGGAAAGATTTGAAATTCCCACGTGTAGTTGTGAGCCACTGTACAGCAGACCTACTTGCCCACCCTCTCCCCCTGCCAAATTTCCCCAAATGCCTCCATTCATAGCAAAATAGGAATTGGCATCATTGCTAGGGACATCCAACCCTCTAGCAGACTTGGATAGCAGCAGCTGTAAAGCTGCACTTACCAAGACATAAGACGCTTTGACAAGGCCTCCAGACATTTGCCAGCAGTATCCTAAAAAGCCAGAGTGTCATCCACTGGACATATGAGGTTCTTGATCACCACATTTGCCAAGGGTATACTCCACTGCTTAGTGAATTCATCCTCCATGGAGTATTGGTGAGCAAACCTCTTTGCTGGAGTGATCAGGGTGAGCCAGTACGTGTGCAAAACATTCTTAAGGTGAGGATGTACAGGGACGACTCAGACTCTTGTGACAGCAGCTTGTGAATCTAGGAGTAAACTTGCTGAGAAAAAGACTTGAATTGGTAACTTCAAATCAGTTCACACCACTTCTATGAGAACTTGCATGAAGACCTTCCGAGTCTGAGTTAAACTCTGACCCTGGGGTTTCTCAGGTGCAGAGGTCTCAGAAAAGGAGACTGCCATCTCCCCATCTTCAGGAATAGTCATCTGTGTCATTCTCCACAAGTTCCTTCTCCATTAAAAAAGAGAGGGGAGAACGGGTGACCAATGCAGTCAAAACCAGCAAGTATTCCAGATAGCTGCTGTTGTAACCCAGCCATAGCAGACATCAAATACTTCTTAGTCGCATATGAACTGGTGGAAAGTACCTGATAGAGGAAGGGAGGCAATGCTGCTAGGAACACATTGACTCCCAAGGGAAACAGTAGATGGGCTACGTTTAGGTTCCTCCCTTGTGTCCACCCTGTCTGGTATGGGATTGGGTACCATTTTTCTGCGCTATTATGACTGTAGAAATGGATCTGTATAGAGCAGTGGTTCTCAACCTTTCTAATGCCGCGACCGTATCAGTGGAGGAATAGTGCCCCATCATGGTATCAGGGGGAGCAATAGTGCCCCAACGTTGGTGTCAGTGGGAGGAATAGTGCCCCATCGTTGGTGTCAGTGGGAGGAATAGGGCCCCATCGTGGGTCAGGAATAGTGCCCCATCGTTGGTGTCAGTGTGTCAGTGGGGGGAGGAATAGTGCCCCCCATGCCCCGTTGGTGTCAGTGGGGGAAGAATAGTGCCCCATCGTTGGTATCAGGGGGAGCAATAGTGCCCCAACCTTGGTGTCGGGGGAGGAATAATGCCCCATCATTGGTGTCAGTGGGAGGAATAGTGCCCCATCGTTGGTGTCAGTGGGGGGAGGAATAGTGCCCCATCGTTGGTATCAGTGGGGGGGAACAATAGTGCCCCATCGTTGGTGTCAGTGGGGGGGAGGAATAGTGCCCCATCGTTGGTGTCAGTGGGGGGAGGAATAGTGCCCCATCGTTGGTGTCAGTGGGGGGAGGAATAGTGCCCCATCGTTGGTGTCAGTGGGGGGAGGAATAGTGCCCCATCGTTGGTGTCAGTGGGGGGAGGAATAGTGCCCCATCGTTGGTGTCAGTGGGGGGAGGAATAGTGCCCCATCGTTGGTATTAGTGACACCAATGATTGGGCACTATTCCTCCCACTGACACCAATGATACTTACCTTGCTGACCCCTGCTCCAGCCTGGGCTCGCTCGCTCCCTCCCTCTCCCATGGTACAGACACTTACCGGTCAGATGTCTTCCTTCTCCGGCCGCTCTCCTCCTCTTCACTCGCTCGATCTTCGCGGTGCCGCTCGGCTCCTCCTCTCCAAGCTCCACCTCCACGCCGGTAATTGGCCGCCTGTGTGCCTCTCCTGAGCTACAGTTCCGGCGGCCAATCACCGGCGAGGATTGATCCCGGGGGTGTGTCCAGATGACAGGGACGGCATGTCATCCCGCCCACACCTAGAGACGGATATAGGAGCGGTGTCTCGGTTCCTAAGGCCATCGGAAATATGTGTTTTCCGATGGTCTTAGGCGACCCCTGTGAAAGTGTCTTTCGATCCCCAAAGGGGTCGCGACCCACAGGTTGAGAACCGCTGGTATAGAGCCTATTGGAACCATTGAGAATCTAGAAAAATTGTGTGGAGAAAAACTCAAGCTCTTCCCTATACTTTTTTGCCAGTGTGTAATCACCTGGAGGTGGCACATAATCCCTGATTGTAAGAATTACCAACGCTGCTGTGTCCTGTGAAGTACAAAAAAATGTAGAAAATAAATTTATTGGGATTACTGTCACCAAAAAAATAGCAGAATACATTTGGCCTAACTTTTTGAAGAAATTTTATTGGATATTTTTTACAACAGAAAGGAGAAAATATGAAATTAATGCAGTTTTGGTGCGCTTTCATAAAGTGCACCACACCTGCAAGATATAATAGAAGTCCATGGCAAAGTGCAAATAACCTGCAGGAAAGCCACAGGTGCACTGTGCTGCACCCACGGTGCTGGTAAACTGGTAAAAACCCCATAGTTGAGATGTCTTTTTAGCCTCCAAACCACTAGTGTAGCACCAGGGGTAGCAATGGAGACCCCCATCCCATGCTCTAGGGAGCCCGTGCAGCCTCCCCGTCACATGCTGTATTACAGTTGGACAGGAGAGGTGGCTGGTGTTAGATATCTTATACAGGAACTGATCCTCTTCCAACTGCTGAAAGCTGTATTCTCTCCCTCACGCCATCATTCAGTGGCTGCAGGAGGAAAATGTTCTGAATTTTGAATTTTTTTTTTTAAATTTCAAATAGCATAATGAACAATTTCATTTCATTGTGGCCCATGACCGGTCAGCAAATCAGTGGAGCACCCCTGCCCTAGCGAAGTAGAAATAACTTTTATACAATTAGCTCATGTAGAGAAATTTTCACCACCGTGATCTTTTTTTTTTTTTATTGGTTTGTTTCAAATTTAAAAAAAAAAAAAAAAAAAACATACAATATATTGCCAAAAGTATTGGGACACCCCTCCAAATCATTGAATTCAGGTGTTCCAATCACCTCCATGCCCATAAAGCACCTAGGCAGACTGCTTCAATGAACATTTGTGAAAGAATGGGTCGCATGCAGGAGCTCAGTGAATTCAAGCGTAGTACCGTGATAAGTTGGCACCTGTGCACGAAGCCCATCTGAGAAATTTCCTTGCTACTAAATATTCCATGGTCAACTGTTAGTGGTATTATAACAAAGTGGAAACAACTTGAAGTGGTAGACCACGTAAAATGACAGAGGGGGTCAGAGCATGCTGAAACGCACAGAAGTCACCAGAGTCAATAGCTAAAAACCTCCAAACTTTGTGTGGCCTTCAGGTTAGCACAACAGTGTATAGAGAGCTTCATGGAATGGGTTTCCATGGCTGAGCAGCTGCATCCAAGCCTTGCATCACCAAGTGCAATGCAAAGCGTTGGATTTAGTGGTGTAAAGCACTGCCACTGAACTCTAGAGCAGTGGAGACATGTTCTCTGGCGTGACGAATCACACTTCTCTGGTAACCTGATGGACGTGTCTGGGATTGGAAGTAGCCAGGAGAATGGTACTTGCCTGACTGCACTGTGCCAAGTGTAAAGTTTGTTGAGGGGGGTATTATGGTGTGGGGAACTCTTAAAGCGTCAGAATGCCAAGACATTTTGGACAATTTCATGCTCCCAACTTTCTGGGAACAGTTTGGGGATGGCCCCTTCCTGTTCCAACATGACTGCGCATCATTGCACAAAGCAAGGTCCATAAAGACATGGATGAGAAAGTTTGGGATGGAGGAACTTGACTGGCTTGCATAGAGTCCTGACCTCAACCTGACAGAACACCTTTGGGATGAATTAGAGTGCAGACTGCAAGCCAGGCCTTTTCATCCAACATCAGTGCCTGACCTCACAAATTCACTTCTGGAAGAATGTTCAAACATTCCCATAGACACACTCCTAAACCTTGTGGACAGCCTTCCCAGAAGAGTTGAAGCTGTTATAGCTGCAAAGGGTGGGCCAACTCTGTGTTGAAGGAAGGACACAAAAGAAGAAAAGTGCCTCTAAGTGCAGTACAAAGAACATTTATTAAGGAACAATGTAAAAACACTCACATGGTAAAAGTACTGGTCCCTCCTACGTCATCATGCTGATGCCAACGTTGCGCTCCAGGGTGCGTTCCAACGACCATCTTCCAAAACATACACACGCCAGCTGGCTTCTTCCATCTACAGTCTGCCACAGCATACCCAGCGAGAACTTGGTATAATGGAGTATCAAATGATGTCCAACCAGCTTCCTTTACACTTTTACCATGTGTTTTTACATTGTTCCTGAATAAATGTCCTTTATACTGTACTCAGGGGGCGCTTTTCTTCTTTTGTGTCTTCACCCAGAGCCTGCTACAGCCTCAAGAGCTTGCCCTAGTGCTATATGGACTCACTTATATTGGACTTTATCATGTAGTTTTTCCTTTGTTTCATGGTGTTAGGATTTGGGAAATTTGTTTGCGCTGATTTTTTTGGTTCTTTGTCTGTGTGTATTGAATCCTACGGACTAAGACTGTGCGTGTAAAGGTAGGCAACCCACTACTTTTAGCAATATAGTGTATATTAATGTCAAGCAGATGTGTGAATGCAGCACATTTTTGTTAAAGTTTACCTAAAGCCAAAACCATGATTTTGGGAGCCCTGTCAGACATGTATTATTGTGTCCCACTGAGGTAAATTAACGTCCTGGAGACAACAAAGTGGAGAGAAAATACAATTGTGTTCAAAATAATAGCAGTCAGACATCACTAATCTGATCAATCACTGTTTTTGGTAGAAATGATATTTCTACATGGCAAATAATTTACTAGCAGGTGTAGTAGAGTAATAGAAATCCAACAGACCCAACAGTTCTGACATGCATGCTGCTGATTCTGTGTAATTGAATCACTAATTGAAAGGGGCATGTTCAAAATAATAGCAGTGTGGAGTTCTATTAGTGAGGTCATTCATTCTTTGAAAAACAGGTGGCAATTATTGCCCTTATTGAAGGAAGGAAGGAAGGCAGCAAATGTTGTACATGCTGGTTACAGTGCATTTCTCTCTGAAATTCTGAGGAAAATGGGTCGTTCAGACATTGTTCAGAAGAACAGCGTACCTTGATTAAAAAGTTGATTGGAGAGGGGAAAACATATAAAGAAGTGCAGAAAATGATAGGCTGCTCAGCTAAAATGATCACAAATGATTTAAAATGGCAACCAAAACCTGAAAGACGTGGAAGAAAGCAAAAAACTACCATTCAAATGGATAGAATAGCCAAAAGGGCAAGGACTCAGCCAACAATCAGCTCCAGGAAGATCAAAGAAGGTCTAAAGTTACCTGTGAGTACTGTTTACAATTAGAAGACGCCTATGTGAAGCCAAGCTATCTGCAAGAAAGCCCCTGCAAAGTCCCACTGTTGAAAAAAGATATGTGCTGAAGAGGTTACAATTTGCCAAAGAGCACATTGACTGGCCTAAGGAGAAATGGAGCAACATTTTGTGGACTGATGAAAGTAAGATTGTTCTTTTTGGGTCTAGTGGCCAGAGACAGTTTGTCAGACGACCCCCAAACACTGAATTCAAGCCACAGTACACTGTGAAGACAGTGAAGCATGGTTGCGCAAGCATCATGATATGGGGATGTTTCTCATACTACGGTGTTGGGCCTATTTATGGCATACCAGGGATCATGGATCAGTTTGAATACATCAGAATACTTTAAGAGGTCATGCTGCCTTATGCTGAAGAGGAAATGCCCGTCAAATGGGTGTTCCAACAAGACAACGACCCCAAACACACCAGTAAACGTGCAACATCTTGGTTCCAGACCAACAAGATTGACGTTATGGAGTGGCCAGCCCAATCCCCGGATCCTAATCCAATAGAAAACTTGAGGGGTTACATCAAAAATGCAGTTTCTGGGGCAAAACCAAGAAATAGAGAAGAACTGTGGAGTGTAGTCCAATCATCCTGGGCTGGAATACCTGTTCACAGATGCCAGAAGTTGGTTGACTCCATGCAACACAGATGTACAGCAGTTCTCAGAAACAGTGCTTATACAACTAAATATTCATTAAGTGATTCAAAGGAAAGCAAAAACTTCAAACATTTTTCAGTTTATATAGTGAATGTTCGAGTTTGTAAAGAAGAATACAAACACTGCTATTTTTTTTGAACAGTCTAATATTCACTTTTCTTAATTTTTTTTAGAGGAACAACACAAATTTGATATATGCTTTGATTTGGAAAAGAATGTGTAATGTTCCCAATGCATTTGTGTGTATGGAAATAAAAGCTATTAGAAGGATTTTGAGCTTTAGCCACTTTTTTCAACACACTGCTATTATTTTGAACACAACTGTGTGTGTGTATATATATATATATATATATATATATATATATATAAATAACGTCATACCTGCTTGCTGCAATGATTTTGCAGATCAGCCCTGACCCTCTTCTTCTGGGGTCCCCTGCTAGTGCTACTGGCCTAGCCTCTTGCTATGGGGGCACTTATGTGGGCTCAATCCCTAGTCAAGTTGTGTGTCCATAGGCCATAGGCACACACAG